GGGGGGGGGTTTATCTTTTATTCGAACTTGGTCCATCTTTTTTTTTCTCCGTCTGTTTGGCTGTACATTTCAGATGCAAAGGATAAAGCTCTCTCCCAAAACTGCATTGACTTCGTTTTTGAATGATAACCTTGAAAAGATCTTTGAAAACTGTCTGCTCCTTACATCGGTAATTGCGCCAGTTCAAAAGCAGTTACGCCCTCGTGAGGCAATTGAACTTGCCACGAACAACTGCAACTATATTTTACATTTGTCATTTTCCGCGTCGTTTAAGTTGTCCTGTCCTGTCCTCATCATTGAATTCTCTCCGATTTCTTTGACGATGGTATGAGGTCGTTTATTGGTCGGCCAGTTTCTAGTCTCTTCTCCATCACTGTTAGGAGAGTGACACCGTCAATCACTTTCTGGACAAGTTCCACTTCGGAAAAACCTAGTCTGTCCAGATTGGAGATGTCGAAAACGCCTCCTTCAGCTGCCGTGTCTACCCCACCTGTGAAGTGGGTAAAAGCAAGAAAACACTGAATTTTCCTGTGAATTATTAGGCAGAAATATGATTTCCGTAGAGGTAAACGTAAAGGAACACACAAACGGTTAGAAATCCGGGATCAATAATGGTAACTGAGCAACTGAACACCTACCCCTCCCCTAACAAACATTAACCCTAACTTGTTAACAGTTGATTTTTGCTGGGTTAGGGGAGAGTTAGGTATGTAGTGGCTCGGAGACTGACATTAATCCAAAATTGCAACTCACTGTTTTTGATAAGGTGTTTTTTGATTGAATGTTAAAAGACCAAAACCAAACTAATCCCTTCTTCACAAGCGCCAATTGGGACCAAGAGATGTACAAGAAAGGATCACTGAGAACTCGGCTTTAAACGAGCGGAAGCGGGTGTAACCACGTCACGACTAGTTTTAGTTTATCACCTGAATGGCTAAGAAGATGACGCCAAATTACTGAAGGAATTTTAGGGTATAGCTAAGCAAAGTAACCTCTCACCCGGTCCCAGTTGCAAAGACAAGGCATCACCGTTATAGTAACTGTATCGGACACCCATCGTCCATCTCTCTTCAAATTTTTGATTGTTAATTTTTGTGTCAGATGCTTTTTATTTTTTCTGTTAACCAGAGAATGACGCAAATAGTAATTGGTCAGGACTAATCCTTACCAGTTCCTCGTTTCTGTAGTCGTAGATATTCCAGAATCTCGTTAAATCGTGGGTTCTGCAAATATTCAAATAAATCTTGTGGTGAGATTTGAGTAAGGTATTCAACTTACGGTGTACACTATTCTGAGTCTCTGTGCAAAAAGCAAGATAATTTGGTCTTTTCAACTGATGTGATGATTTAAATTGGCAGTCTGACGTTTCGAGTGTTAGCGCTTCGTCCTTTCGTTCTGACGATAGGCTAACGTTCGAAACGTTAGCTAAGGAACTCTTTGCTTAGACCAATTTACATTATCAACTGTTAATAAAACCAAATTAACTTGTTATACTCCCACCTACGCAGCACCGCAGTTTCTTTAAAAACTTACCCCTTTATTCGTTTGTGCAAAAAGCAGTTCGTTTGACTTACTAAGGAAAGCGTACTTCAGAGAAATGTTACCACGAATGTTTGAAAAAATATGTTATTGTTTATACATGCAACGATTCAAATGAGAGGAGAGATTAAAGTGAAAATGTTAAGGGAAAGAGATGAAAAAGAAAAGAGAAGTTCTGATGGGTATGCAAAAGTTGAAGATGCAAATCTGAAAATCCTCTTTTTTTCTCTTGTTATAAAATGTTTAGGAATCAGTTTATCTTTTACAGTTACTATCACTGTTATTCGACAAAGAAAAGTGGCACCTTTGAAAGATGTGGTAGTTTAATATGCACTCCAGCTCTGAGTCCTGTTCCAAGATTGGACGGACAGGTAAGGATATATCCCAGGTGTTCATTCCACATAAATTCGTGCCCTTGACGTTTAATAAGTCTTTCCACCTCGTGAAGCCCTCGACAAAAGCGGTCAAACACTGCGCGCATGTCTCCTCCTTTCTCCATAGAAATGATGCGCTTGTGGTCCTCTTCGTTGACCCAAATAAGGAAGTTCTTGTCGTGGTTGTGCCAGATTCCCCGCGCGTCAGGCCAGTCACGTGCCATGCCGGCACACGTGAGGAGTGGGGAGACTGGTTTGTCAAACAGGAAGTGATCGTCAATCAGTTGTTGTTGCTCTTCTGGTGTCATCTCGCTCAGGGGGTAGTAACGACCAGACAATTCACCTGGAAATTTACCCGTAACAATATATTGTTTATTTTTGCTGGAGGAGAGTTTGTTTGTTAAATGGGCATTACAAATTTGGCTAGCATGAGAAAGAAGCAATCATTTGGTTTCTTCGACGCGCGAAAGATGGTTGTCTCGTATGCGCGCTGATTGAATAGCGTAAATCAAGTAGAAGGTTGCAAGAAGATTTTCATATCAATCGCTTCAATGCAAACTCTAATAATTATTTTCTGAAGATGTCATATCGGAAATTATGATGTTCATGCGATACCTTTCTTAGGACATACCTTGCAATCCAGCCAATGCCCTGGTAATAATTTTTTCAACTTTTCGTCTCTCTGCTCTCGAACAATGTGGCGGTAAACTGAAAGACCTGATGGATCTTCCAGTGCGCACTCGAGACGACAACACAAAGCGCTCGTCTAACTTTCCTCCTCGGATTTTAGACGAATCTAAGTCTGTCCGATGCAGATCTGTTTTCTTGTAGCCATTATGACGTTCTTCGATAATCGGGTCGAACAACTCCGCAAAAGTTTTGTACGACTCTTCGTCTCCAGCTACTGCTCCCACAGTAAGGATAAATGGATGGCCGGGGTTGTCTACACCAGATTGAATAGCATTGTCCAATGTAAACCCACTTGCGGTTTTCCTATCTCGCAGTTTGGCGTAAAGACGAGGTGTTAGGTGTTTTGCCATTAAGTTGTTGTACATACGCATGTCTGGGTAATCAGCTATCGCCGTGTGGTTTTGTTTGAAAGTTGGACCACACCCTGTGGCTGCGCAGCTAGACCTAGACAGGCCAATTCCGACGACAAGTGCGCCAGTAGCTGCTATACCAAATAGAGCGTTTTTGTTTTCTTGGAAGAAAGAAGTAATAGCAGACATGGAGAACTTGCCTGGTGCATAGAACTGATCCATGCTGTATGAGCGCGGTCGAGCAAGTGATCTGATCAATTTTGAACCATTAAGTGACGTCAAGAATTGAAACAGCTAATTTTTAACGTCACGCGGTTCGACCATTGTGTGACTTTCCTAAAGAATCAAGTCACGCAATTTTACCTAAAAACATAAAAACATTACCAAAAAAAAGGCAGTCATTGTGGTATTGTTTGACAAATATGAAATGTAATTTAAACTTTGTACTCTGAACCCAAAGACTCTAATTCCAAATATGTTACAATTATGCCATAAGATAAAGATATGAAGAGAATAGACCACAAAAAAATTAAGAACTGTTCTGCTTTTTTTTTTTTCATGAAAAATATCGACATCAAAGATGTGTCTTTAAGATTTAAATCCTTGTTGCGATTGATATTTCGTGATATTTCTTAAAGAGGGAGCTGATTATAACCTAAATGATATTCCTTTTTCACTAATGCAAGGAAAAATCTGGAGAAAAATATTTTCATTTGGGTCTTAGCGCATACATTTGTGGTTGACATAGTTATTACGCACAGAAACAAGTCAGCTTGTAAATGACCGCAAATTTAAAACAGGAACGCATGAGTAAGCGTATTCGAAGCGTAAATCACCTTCTTAATGACCTGGTAACTTAACGCTTTTAAAATCGATTGCGATCACTTTACAGAAATTTTACAGCTCTGTTTTCCCATTAGCAGCATTTGTAAACCACTCAACAGTATTTACCTCTCTTGGCCTAAGGCTAAGGGTTATTTTTGGCTATGAGTGAACTCATCTCTGATTGGTTCCCGTGAAAGATTCTTTTGTAATTTGACCAATAAAGAGTCAAGATATACTCTCCGGTTTCGACCCCACTTTAGTGTACAGGAGCTGTGCTTTGCATCTGTAACTTAACAATTTACATTCGACGTCCTTAATTCTTTTCAAATTTGCTGTCTTCAACTTGAAGTCTAATGCGATTTGCGAGAGTCATCTTTCTTTCAAGAAGTTTGCTTAAGTGATTAGTAATCAAGAATTTTACGTCACGAAGTGCTTACAAGAACATCTCACTTTACACCGTTTGTTTTGTTTTGTTTGGACGATTTGCATTCTCTTCTGCAGTGATAGCTGAGATTTTCTTCACAGGGTCGTTAGCAACCCTCTAAAATGACCTGAAATCTTGTTAATTACTTCAAACGGAAATATCCGCATTTAACCATACTGCCAAAAGGGGAATTTTAGACTGTTCGGCCATGTTGCAACGAGCTTTAACATGAGGAGATGGGGAGGTCTAAAGAGTTGTTTCTCAGTGGAGTGCGAGGGAAATGGTGACATGGCTGTTCTCGACTTGCAGCACTGCAATCTGACTTCAGTACCAACAGACATTTTTAAAGCCGAGCCAAACCTGGAAGAACTCTACCTGGATGCTAATCAGATACGAGAATTACCGAGGGTATTTGAAAAGTTTATTTATTGTTCGAATACTTTTCCCTGGGTCGCTTTGACGATTTTGTCATTTTTGATGGCGTTGTTATAAAACCATACTGAATTTTGTCTCTGTTTGCTGTTTGCCACAGGCTTTGTTTGGGTTGCAGAGTTTGCTAATTCTTGGTTTAAGTGACAATGAGTTGACTGTGTTACCATCAGCTGTGTCTAACTTGGCGAACCTTAGAGAAGTTGACATCAGTAAGAATGGTGAGTGAAAGAAACTACGTTTCTCAAATTGAAGATGTGTTCGATCAACGATTTAAAAGGAACCGATTTTTATGTTTTATCGCTACCATAAGATCTCGATATCAATTTTTTTCTTCCAGGTATTATTGATTTACCAGAGAATGTTAAAAACTGCAAATGTTTGGAGCAATTTGACGCAAGCGTAAATCCGATTGGAAAGTGAGTAAATTTGTACATACATTCTTCTATAATTTTATTGTTTATTCTTTTGTCTGTCCGTGTGTTTACTTGAGAAATTTAGAAATATCCCTTCTAATTATTTTAGAGAGCCGTCCTTTGTTTATAGTTGGATATTAGATATGTTAGATTATGTGTTAGAGGTGTTAATAGATGCTGCTATTCAACAGAAGTATTTAGTGCCCAACAAAATTCAATTTTGGAAGTAATCCAATTAAATTAAAATCCTATGTTTATAAGCCTTGATATTAAGTTACTGTTATGAAATGTTTTAATTTGTGGTGTTTCATGTTAAAATTGTTTTTATTAAGATTTTTTTTAACTTAAATTTTTTCAATGATCACGAATTTTCCCATCGATTGATTTCGGAGCATTGGAATAACAACACGAAACAATTACATACTGTTTTAATATTAGTGAGTTGAAGAGCAATCGAGGGTGCTCGCTTTAAAAACTTTTATTCAAATTGTAGAGATTTCAAAGGATTGATTGGCAACCTCTTGCATTGTCAAATTTTTTTCCTGAAAAAAATATCAGTGAAAAATTATTCGCTTAGTCTTAAATTTAAAATTCATTTTTCCTGATATTATTTGCTACAGGTGGCAGCCATTTTTTAGTGGTTTCTATCACTCACGTAATATTCAAGCATTTCTTCCTCTGCCTTTGAAATGTGTTTCTGGCATATTTAAATCGCTGAAAACATTATTTGTCAAGTTTGAAATCAAGAACTGCAAGTTTCATTTTTATGGCTGAGTAAGCTATCTGCTTTTCTTTAAATTCCTTGCTTTTAATTGTTGACAATTAGGGAGCTTTAAAGTTGAGCAGTAGCCAGTTTTTTTGTGCCAGGTACTGGTAGTTTCCCGCTGACCATTATATGAGACAATGAAATTTAATTTTTGTTCCTTTACTTGTATTATCTTTTGGACGTGATACATGCTGTGATGGGTCAGCTTTGTGCCACCTTTCAACTGCTGTGGTTCACTTTCAGGCTCTTAACATTTTTCCCATGGGATTTTTATTTGATAAATATTTAGTAAATATATTTAAATTTCTCTGTCTCTTTTTTGAAGGATAATTTATAATTTTCTGCTCACTTCTTAGCTTGGGAGCATTAACATTGATTTGATATTATCTTTTTTTTTATTTTTTTTTTTTTATATAATGATTCACCCGAAGGTGGGTGTAAATACAATAGGACTCTAAGTCCCCTCCAAGATATTTACACCCTTAATCCCAACCCCTAAATTAGATTTAAAATCCCAACCCAACACATCAAGAAAAAGAACAAACATATAGTACATGTTTTAAAACTGACTGTGGAATTAACAAGAACAAACTGTAAAAGCATTAACTTTACGACAATTTGGACAAATCAACTTAAAGGTTCTTGTTTCTTTACATAATGTATTTCCATGCAGAATTCCTGATGGCTTTACTCAGTTGTTCAATTTGACACATTTGTATCTGAATGATGCTTTCTTGGATCGTTTACCATCAAATTTTGGAAGGTAAGATGGTAATTTCTTACCAACTACACAGTCAAATGTACTGTCAACAAGTAAGTACTGCTGTGACATTTAAAGCCTTACTGGGCACTTTGGAAAAGGAGAGGGGGAATCCCTTGTTCAGGCAATGTATGGGCATTTTTGATGCCAAAAGTATGGTTCATGATCCCTTTGGGTGTGAGGATCAATAGGGATTTTAACAATTTAGGTTTGACATTCAATAAAATATGGAAACATCTCACCAATTGAGTATGAATTTTAAATGGATGCAAAGTCATTTATAATTCAGGTGTTAACCCTTCAACTACTTATTGAGTGACCAAGACATTTAATATCTCCATACAATATCAATAAATAAAAGCAATTAAGTGATGAAAATAAAGAAAAATATAAAATTAATTTGAAGATCATTGGTTGATCCAATACCAAATTCTAACATTATAAGAATTGTTTGTGAGATAGTCAAGATAATTACTCTTTAGATCTTGGAAGTGAAAGGGTGAAAGGGTGTGGAAAATCACTTCAAAGAATGCTACTCTGTCTAATATCAGATTTTTTAACATAAAAATATTGTCATTTTTTTGTCTTATTTTTTTATCCTTTCCTTTTCATTCTGACCTTTTTCTGTCGCCACTTCAGCTTAATCCCAGCTCACCCCAATAGTTAACAGAAACAGTGACAAGATTCAAAGGCATGTTGTTTATTGATTTTTCTTAGACAGTTATTTCTTTTCATCTGTAGATTATCAAAGTTGAAGATCCTAGAACTGAGAGAAAACCATTTACGATCACTACCTGAGTAAGTGCTGTGGAGCCCTCCACTTCAAGGAGTGTCCAAGATGTTATTTCTCACTAGTGCAAATCAAACAAGTTTAACTTCTTTTATCTTGTTTCAGGTCAATGTCATATTTCACACAATTAGAAAGACTTGATATTGGAAGCAATGAATTTATGGAATTGGTATGTTAAAAAAGTGATTTTAAAAGTTATTAATTCAAAGATTATTGAAGAGTATTGTTTTTATTTGTTTCCATCTTAGATTTGGACTGATATATGTTAATTTTTTTTTCACAGCCAGCTGTTGTTGGTTGTTTGGTAAACCTAAGAGAACTTTGGATGGACAATAATTGTGTCAGAGAACTTCCACCAGTAAGTAGCGAATTGTAAAGTAGAGATAACATTTCAAATTAAAGACTCCAGGTTTTAATAACCTGATTCTTAAATAAGTACCTAAGTTTTATGCAATAAATGACTATTAAACTATATATTAAATGAAAAAACACAAAAGACATACACGAAACTATTTCAACTAAAAATATGCTGATTCCATTTTTGCAGTAATTGTCACCAATAGAGTTTTTTTTGCAGAAAATATTTTAACTGCATGGAGTATTTTAATTACAGTATCAGCATAATGAAATTGGAAATAGCAGTGTTCATATGGTAAGATGCTGTGTTACTGAGTAAGGTTGGAAGGAACAGGACAATATTTGGCTTTTAGTCATGATCTCTGAAACTTGCTCTGCTGTGAGTCTATATGCCATGGCCAAGAAAATCATTTTCCTGTACAGCCCTCCATCTTGGTCAACAAGCACATGACACGGACCAATTAAGTTACAGAGCTAATAAGCAAGGAAAATTCCAATAGAAAATTAACACCCAAAATTCTTGTTGTCTGTACTTTCCTTTTAATAAAAGTCTGTGTGGTAGTTGTTAAATTTAGTACAATTTATTTGGTTTTATTTTCAGGAAATAGGATTGCTTCGTCAGCTTTTGTTCCTTGATGTTTCCAAAAATAGACTGGAGCGTCTTCCACCAGAAATAGAATGTTTACAGTCTCTGACTGATCTTTATTTATCCAACAATGTGTTGCTTGAATTGCTTGATAATATTGGTAGGTATCCTCTTTAAAACTTTTTGAAATCTCTATATATTTTTTTTAAAACTTTAGAATATTTTACTGAATCTGTTGGAGTCAGTGATACTAAATCATACAAATGCAAACTGGAAATGAAAAATTCAAAGGAAACAAACAGTGAGGATGTGAGCCCAAACCACTGAAATTATTTTTGCAAAACATCTCTTACCCAGTGTTGCTTATGGGTAGCGAATAGTCCTTAAAAAGATTGGGATAAATATGATTAAATGTCAATCAATTTACATTTTTCTTGTGATTAATTTTTGAGGAAGTCTTGCATCCTTTATTATGTTCATTTGTTTGTTTGTTTTAGTAGTAATTATGCATCACCATTTCACTTAATCACACCTTTTTTTTCACTTGCTATTCTAAAAGTCTGCCATTTAATACTTTGTTGCCCACTGCTGCCAACAAACATAAAAGACAAAATGATTACAGGAATTTTCATTCATCGATGTTTGCAAAGTAAAATAATATAGGTTAGCACTGAGGTGGGCAACAGTGGTTTCCTTTAAAATTACTTTAAATTAAAATTACTTTAAATTAAAAATTACTTTAAAATCAAGTGGTTTACCCACTTGCTTAATGTTTGACTGTCATACTTGCTTTTGCTATTGTTTGAAATAAGACTATCCAAGGCATGTAACTTTTGTATCATGTAGGTTCCCTTGGGAATCTCCAGACACTCAAAGTTGACGAGAATCTCCTTGCCGAACTTCCAGCTAGTATTGGAAGGTAATTAATTCATCTTGTTGTATCAATACCAGTAGTTCATAATTTCAGTTATGTTTAGTAAACTTTTATTTTTTTTTTTGCCAGGGTTTTACTGATTATTGTACAAAATTGTGCGTTATGCCTAAATCTAGTAACTGAATTTGTTCATTTGTAGACTATCCAATTTGGAAGAACTTGTCATAAATCATAACGAGTTAGAGGTGAGGCAGGCAGTACTTTAGGGATAGTTACAACACAAAACATCATATCTGATAAATCTATATTTTATACAAGTCGAGAGTTACAGGAATTGTTAAGTACCATGTTTACGTTGCAGAGTTTGCCAGCTGCCATTGGATTATTAAGAAAACTACGCATCTTGTATGCTGATGAAAACTTCCTAGAGGCAATTCCTTTGGAGGTATATATATTTCTATTTCTATTTAGGTCTCGGAAAAGTTTCCGTCTAGCTCAGCAATAACAAGTTATTTCATTCTTAAGATCTTAGAGCTAGTATTCTCCCAAACATTTTACCATTAGCCATTCCTGATTGTAGTCTATCCCTTGCCTGATAATTTTCTTAATTCTCACCTCCTGTCTACTCCACAGTGCCTTTTAAAGTTGCAAGAAAAAAATTACATTCTGAATTATTCTGTTAGAGAAAGGATCAAACTGACCAGTGTCCATAACTAAATAATTATGTTTTATTTTGTTTATTAGTTAGGTAGCTGTACATCAATTACTATATTATCACTACGTGACAACAGGCTTGTGCGGATACCAGATGACATTGGTCGCATGCCAAACCTTCAAGTCATAAACTTTGCTTGCAACAGGTGATGTGTAATGTTTGGGGCTTAATATTAAGATTCAAATCATCCAGTAATGTTCAGTAATAATATGATGTCACTATTATTTTACTGAGCAATTCACCTCTCTCAAAATCAACAGATTGGAGTGTTTGCCTTATACATTCAGGAAGCTGACTACTCTAAAAGCTCTGTGGCTCTCAGAAAATCAGGTAACACAAGATTATAAACCTAACTAGGTGAATGTCTGTGGGCACTCAGGCACTTACACCAATAAAATTTAGGCACAGATTACAAACAATTTTCACATTTAAAAGCATTTTAAAATTTGTTATCCCCTTTCAAAAAGTGTTTTCACATTCTTTTTGATCAGTTCTTTAACCTACCTGTGAAAAAAAAATTACAATTTTGCATATGCTTGTGAGCCTTGTTAGCAATCTTTTACTGGACTGGCTCTGAAATTTTGACTTAGGCCTCCTGCAGAACTCCTATTTAACAATTAATACAAAATTGAAGATATCTCTGTTTCCAAAGCATTGCGACTCTCAGAAAATCAGGTAACACTGTGCAAAGACTTAGTTTCAAAAAATACTATGTTGAATTTCCCTCTGTATCTTAAATTTTTAATAGTGGTTAGTATCTTTATCATCATGATAATGAAGGTTAAACAAACCTATCTTGCATTTCAGTCCAAGCCAATGGTTCCTCTACAATCAGATTTTGATCATGGTACTCAGTCACACATATTGACATGTTACATGTTTCCACAACAGCCTCCAGCTGATGAAGGTAAGGTTTACCAGCTAATTTACCCCACACTATAATTTGAATTTAAGTCATCTTTACTTACATTACTATTGATTTAGTGCTAATAGTCATCCAGGGTTGACTATGATAAAAATAGTCAGCAGTCAGTTACCTTGCAGGCTTTTTCTGGCCACCGTAGGTATCAATGCAAAAACTGAACAAAAAGACAGTCAAGTATTAGCAGAGCTCTTAAGTTGATTTGCTGGCAAAGAGTGAGACCCTGTGGGCATCACCTACCAGTAGGGGGGAGGGGGGGAGGGGTATGGGGGTATACTCACCCAGAAAATTGTGAAAAAATGAAGGGGCTGAGAAATGCTTTCCTTTATTCGTAGCAAAAATTTCCCCTTTTGGAAAGAGTTTGAGAAGCAAGTACAAAGGGAACAAGGAGTAAATTACACCTACAAGGATAATTGGATTTCTGCAGTCACTTATTATAACTAAAGGAGCAGTTTGCTTTCTCAAAATCAACAGTTTGAATCAGCAACCATAAATGCATGAGAAATAGTTTTTTCAGGGTGAGAACACAAAGTTGAATTTGTTTGCTTGACTGAGTCACAAAGATTGAGGCTTGGGAGCAGTTTAAGTAGGATCAACTGCTAAACTTGCTACTCAGTGATATGCACTTTTCAGTGACAATTGCAGACTTTAAAACTGTAAGAAACCTCTAGCTATCATCACTAAAACGTTATTTGAAGAAACTAGTTTAATTTTATCTGTTCTTTTCATACTGTGCTCCATTCCTCATACATAGGTTTTAAATTTTTTTCTTTATTTTTTTTTTGTGGGGGGGGTCAGTATCAGAACAGTACAGTGAGGACTCAGCAGGAAGTATTCCAACATCTCTGTTAGAAGAACAAATCAGACAAAGGTCTTCCATTGTTTTCAACATTGATGAAGATGATTACCTGGTAAGCAATTTCTTGTTCATTTGAACCCTTTAACATTGTCGCATCAGTATCCAAATTCTCCATACTTTCTTCTTGGTTTCCATTGATTTGTTTTGGGATTTCTTTATTTATTATTTGTTAATTAATTATTATTTTTTTTTAATGGTAGACAAGATTAGCTAGATACCAGTCACCATATCCGAAGGATGTGAAGGATCGTGCCACACAGTACTTGGCAAGCAGACGACAGCAACAGCAGGAGAGAGAGGTAACTCAGCCAGTGATCCCTTCCCAGCTCCAGTGTCACCAACAGGAACAACACCAGTATAGGCACAAGTATCAGCACAGAATTCAGCACTCGGTGATAATTGCACCCACTTCACTCACTTAACACAAGTTGAGAAGATTAATTTCCCAAATTATTAACCCTTTCATGTTTCAAATTTAAAACTGAACTAAATAACTTTATAATCTTTTAATTATCTACTGTAAATAACTATTATGTAACATATGTAAATGTATTTGACTTTTAAATTTTTGTAGTGTCCCCCATTAACTTATAGCTAAAAACAAAGACACTTAAATAAAGTTTTTCATTCATTCATTCACTCCAGAAACATTGCATTTTAGCACTTGTAGAAATTGACTCACTGGGTGAATACTAATACGTTGGCTATAATCATCTCATATCTAACAAGCGCAAGTGGATTAATTGTTTTATTAAAAACGCCCCCTATAAATTATTATTTTGTAAGAAGAAACCAGATTTTTTAGCTCCCTTTTGATTTTAAGCTTATGCGTATGCTTACCATATTTGTAGATTATGGTATATTGGGTCATAGACCATAATGGCTAAGCCAATAAAAAGTCTTGAATTGCATTATCCAATGATCCAGTTACAATGAGTACTCTGATTCCAGTGGTATTGAGGTATTTCAAGTTTTCAAGTTTACTAATTTTATCAAGGAAGGGATTATTTACATATAAAGTATAGGGCAACAATATTATGTGCATTTGTTTAGTTCTTGTTGAAAGTCCTCAAAAGTACTGTTAACTGGCTAATATGTTCAAGGTTTTTGTCTTTTACTTAATCTTCTTTTTTGGTAAAGAAGCAGCTGATTTAAGGAGGCATCAAGGAAATCCAAATTTTTTCAGCTCTAGATCATTTCTTGAATGTGAATTGTGCAGTACAGACAAAGGAGCACATGCTAAAATAAGGCTTCTTTTAGGCACTTTGGAAATAACTTAAACTATTTGAAATTATTCACCGCAAGCATTCCAATTTCTTTTACAAGTCTTTAAGTGTTTTCCACGTGATTTCCTCTGCCTTTGAGTATGAGGATTGTTCCCTTATCTATTTAAAAAAATTAGACAGAAAACAGTTCTTTGGCCAAAATAGAGGAAGTGCACAATTTTAAGAAGATTTTATTGTACTTGACCAATGGGACAAAACACTGCATTTCAATTACAAAGTAAAACACGGTTTCTAAATGAACAAAACTGAAACCCAGTAAAGCACACAACTTTGGAAAGCTGAAAAAGAGCATTTACAAGAAATTTGCGCCTTTTGGAATTTATAAATGCAGAGCTTTTCCATGGCTGTAGTTGAGCTATTCACAAAGAAAAAAGTTCTCCCTTCAGGAGACTTATCGAGAACGACTCAGAAAATTCCATTAATTACGATGACGTATCCTCAAAGAGATTTGTGTGTCGGCTGTGATTGGCTGACTTTCTTGCACGCCAAAAATCAAAATCAATAGAAACTGCATGGATCTTTGAGGGTTGGCGCTATTAAACAATTATTCCACGAGCGCGCGTTGGATATGAGATGATAGATAGCCAACGAGGTGCTACGCGCCTCGTTGGCTATAATCATCTCATATCTAACAAGCGCAAGTGGATTAATTGTTTTATTCAAAACGCCCCCTATAAATTATTATTTTGTAAGAAGAAACCGGATTTTTTAGTTCCCTTTTGATTTTAAGCTTACGCGTACGCTTACCATATTTGTAGATTATGGTATATTGGGTCATAGACCATAATAGCTAAGCCAATAAAAAGTCTTGAATTGCATTATCCAATGATCCAGTCTTTAATAACAAGGGATAACCACGTTTCCAGAATCCTCCATCGTTAGGCAGAGTTATTCGTGTGTTACACATTCTCTTATAGGTTCCACAATCAAACAGCACACACGGTCAGCGGCAGCAGCCGCCAGTGCCAGTCGTGGTGCAATCAGTGGACCGTCGTGAGCTACCTCAGCTGATTAGACCCCAAGAGGTGCGTACAGTTGAAGTGCCTTGGTATGAAGATCAGGTTGGTTCATATGTGCTCTCTCAGTTAAAGAGAAACAGTGCATTACCGACAAAATTTTCCCATGTCAGAGGGTTTATCTCATAAATTTTTGTCCATTTTTTTTTTGTTCATTTTCAAACAAGTTCATCAAAATGAACCATGCTTCAAATAGTTCCTTCAGTTCTTCACCATAAGCAATCTTTACTAAACGTTTAGCTTCCATATACGAGTTCTTTCATTCAAATTTCTTAAAAATTAGATTCCGAGGGATCACACTCTTGATTTTCGTGTGAATTTTTTTTGTTTTTTGTATTACACTAGAATTAAAACCTCAAATAGTTTATTACATATTATTACAATAAAATCAAAGAATCTGAAGGGTTTGCATACCCGGATCACCATCCGTATGATGATCGCTGTCGTTCTTCTCATCTTCGTCATTATATTAATTTTTTTTTCCAGCCTCCAATCCCCATTCAAACTTCAGAGCAGAGACGAAGTCAGCCAGCCGCAGTTGTCCACCCACTGAGCAGCGCTCAGAGGTTGATATCAAATGATATCACTCAGCGAGGTCATGCGGGGAATGGCCTGGGCGATCAAAACAGGGAACCAAAGCCTGGGAGAGTAAATCAGGCCACAGTGAGAAGTATACCTGGAGAGCGGCTTATCGGGGTAATTGAAATTTTACTTTGAACACACTGTTTCCTTGATATTGATATCTCTTGGACGAACATAAATTTGCCCATTTCTTAAATGTATAACTTCATAATCGTTGGCTATCTATCATCTCATATCCAACGCGCGCTCGTGGAATAATTGTTAAGTATCTTCCTGTTGTTTCAGGGGCAATCTGCAGCACAAGAGGTTACAGCCACTCGCATTCCGCCCGTATATCAGCCTCCCCCACCCTACACCCCACGAGAAAACAGAGCCACCCTTCCGCATCCCCGGACGCGGGGATCTGAAGTTTCAGTGGAATCACAGCACTCATTCCGTGAAGAAATGCCCAGTGCGTCCTATTATCAGGGACGTCCGGGGGTCCTTTGGAGCACCTCATCCAGTGGGGGCCAAGACTCAAGGGGCTCCCAAACGGGTGAAATGCACTCTTTTCACGAGGAAGAGCCTAGCTTCGTTCAAAGTCCTATTAGGCCTCCTTCGTATTACGAAGCTACTAATCAATCTGATAGTGTACCTTTTGAAAGAACTGTTCAACACGTCATATCTACATCACGAACTGTGCCTAATTCGGTGGTAATAAATGGTTTAAACAGCAGCACAGGATCACCACCCCCTCAGTACACTGTGCAACCAAAAGCATTTGCTCAACCTCCTGTCAGGCACATTTTACCGGAACCGGAAGCTCCTCGAGACACTAATGGGCAACCAGTCGCTCCTGGCAGACCGGAAGTGAATACTTCGCAAACACTCAACATTTCACAGGAAGACGCGGAAAGGTTCGAGAACAGAGTTCGGCAGCTTCAACGTGAAAGAGCCATGGAGCGTGGCGAAGTAATGGTCGACGGAACTCGGACGAATGTCGGAGACAATCGGAGGCCTCACAACGATGCGTCTTCGATACGTGTTCTTAACCGGAGCAACTCGTCAGAGTCTCGGAATTCCGTCCATTCTGTTTCTTCTGCACAAGAGGAGGAAGAGAGTGAACCTGTGGATAATGACCCAACCATTGACCTGGTGAGAACGATTTTTATGTCGCCATAGTGAATTGATTGGAGTATGAGCGATAACTCTGGGTGGAGGAATATTTTTTAGGGGAAGTGGAGGCTCTAAAGTGTTAGTTAGTTGGAGGAGATATACAAGCCAAGTAGGAGCAATCCTCTACTCCCATGATTCTCTTTCTGCCATCCCTCCCTTTACCCTCCCCCCCCTCCTTTGGAGCGCTAGAGACACTTGCATTTGCGTCGCACTGGGGAATGGATTGAGTTGCTATGATTAAAGTATTGGTGGTAACCAGTGTGATCCCTTAGTCAGATTATGAAGCAAAAAGTGCGAAACATACAACTTCTTATACCAGCATTGAGTTTTTGATGTTTTGTGTTATTAAAGGCTTCAAGGTAGAACTAGACTATCGAATAGCGGATACAGCCTTTTCTCTCGTTGGTTAGACGTTAGGTAAATTTATTGAATGAAAGATAGTGTTATAAAAGAAGAGAATCCACATTCCACAGGTTTGATTTTGTTCACCGAATTGGCTGTTACCTTAGTTCTGCTTTTCTAAAGGGTGTCACCAGTTTTTGATTTGTTTGTTCATCTTGCTCTTCTCACGTAATGCAGAGGTTGAATCTTAACGCAAACTCTTCGTTGGTTATACAGATTCAGGTGGAAGTTTACAAGAATCCTAATCTTGGATTTAGTATTGCCGGTGGAGTTGGTTCCACTTCAAATCCTTTCCACCCGAATGACAATAAGGTTTGTAGAAATTTGGCTGCCCCTGTTTTGGTCAGCGGAGACAAGTAAAAAAGTGGCGAGTAAAGGATAACGGGAGTGTTGAACTTTTTGTAGAAGATTTCACAATGATTGGTGTATGTACCAGTTTGATAGTAAAAGACAATACAGTCTCATTCCTTAAAATATGATTTTGCAACCCCTACATGTTTTATTTTGTTAGTGTACTAGTACTCGTTTTCATTCCTATGTAAACCAAGGATTTAGCTCATAAGTTCTGTGAAAAATGAAAATGTTCAGAAGTTGATGTTTAATTGAACGGAGAGCTGTCGAGGGAGTTTGAATACTAACCTTAAATTCCTTTCATTACACAGAGTATATATGTGACTAAGGTACAGCCAGACGGGCCGGCGGCATTTGGACTTATGCCTGGTGACAGAATTTTAGAGGTGACCGAAAGTGTTTGGTGCATTTTTTTGGGTGTGGGCTCGTGACACCTTTGTGTTACAAATCCTGATACCTTTTCCAGCCTTACTAACATGTTTTACACTTTATTTCATTGTTATAACAGAACCATTTCAACCTCTGACATGCATGAAGCATTTCCTCGTCGTCACTCGACCTTTTCCCCAGGGACCTCTTTCTTCCTCCCTCGAGAAAAGACCCTGGTTGCGGCTAGTCACCAACCAGCAGACCAAAGAACAACGGAGGGAGGGAGCTGCGGGAGAATGGGTCCTCGACTTAATTTTGCCATCAGTTTGTAATTCTTGCCCATCCAGTTAGTCTTGACAAAAATTTTACACACTAGCCCCTCCCTTGATTTTTTTATTTTTTATTTTTTTTATTTATTTTTTTTTTGTAGTCTCCCAACTTTTGGGAGACGCGTGACCAGGAACTACGTCCTTTCCCAAGAGAGGAAGAGAGAGAGCCCTGGGAACGAGGTTGTGTCATCATCAACGATGAAGGATTATCGAATCGTTTGGATTTTTTCTTTTCATTTTATTTTATATTTCCACCCCAGATCCTTGTGAAAGGAATGTTTTAACATAGTTGTTAATTTTACAGGTAAATGGAATCAACTTAAGACGTGTGACTCACGAGAAAGCTGTGATGTTCCTTAAGCACAACCAATGTGTGAATCTACTTATCGCGCGCAAAAAGGATCAACCTAGACCTCTTTGATAGCAGATAACCAAAAAAGGTTGTCGAACACAACTGTATGGAATCTAGAGGATCGTAAGATCTTACAAACGACTCGCATTACGAGAACACGAAAACAAATATAATGGCGCAACGCTATCGTGACCTGGTTGTGATGATAAGAAATTAATGGTCACGCTCAGAGAACTCAGTCATGCGACACATCAAAGTCGCACAAGAAACTTAGAAACCGTGGCATTTTGAATAGAAATAGTAATTACTTGTTGTAAATAATTAGTCCAAATCACGAACAATAAGAAAGTTACTGATTATCCATACTTCAAGAGTTATCTCTTGCCTTGGCGCTCAAATGCAAAGACAACTTCGGGCCCGGTTCTAAACTCCCACCCATATATGGACCCGATTGGGTTAAATGGTATGGTGAAGTCTTGAAGAAATAGTAGTTGCCGAGGCTAGGAATGCGTTTGAATAACTTGAACTACTCGCAGAATAAGACATCACGTCTCGAATATCACTTTCGACGCACGTATAGAAACTGTAAAAATAAAATAACAGTGCTTTAAGAATCTGGCACTGTTATTTTATTTTTACAGTTTCTGTACGTTCGTCGAATGTGATTCTCGAGACGTGATGTCTTTTTCTGCAAGTAGTTCAAGTTGTGGTGAACTCGAACTGAAAAAAATTACCTGAGTGTCTTTCGATTTCGTAATGCAGGCTTAAGGTATTTTAAAAAAGGAAAAAGAAAGACCTCTCTAAATCAGGGCAGGTAGTTCTAACGCCTTCTTTGACAGGTATTTATTTTCCATGGAGTTAGTTTCACAGGGTGCCTCAAATAAAGATAAATCTTTTATCTTGGGTTTTATCCATTATTGGTTCTTCTGAGTTCCAGTTTTAAGTATCGATGATCAACTGACCTTGCCAAGTCAACGATCGTAGTAGGTGCTTTCCTAACTGGAGTTTAAATTCACAATCTTTTGATCAGATTTAGGGGCTTGTTTGGAAATGTCGGTGGGACAATTTATACCTAATGCCTATACCCAAATAAAACCGAAGCTAAAGATTTCACTTCTAAATCCCGAGCATTCCGTATATTTGACAGTCAGAAACTATTTTTAAAATGACTAGCTCCCTTTTCCCCACCCCCTCTCCCGGCCTCCTTTAAAGGAAGATTACCACCAAGAAGCCCCTGCATTATAATCATAATGCAGGGGCCAATATCCAATCAAATTAATTAGCTGGTTAAATACTAGAATTGACCAATCAAAACTTAGGTTCTATTACGTAAAGCATAGCGGAAGTATTTCTCACGGCTTCGAGCAAGGGTTCTCTGTGATCGATGAAAGTTTAAGTGATGGTATATCTAGGCAAAACAGAGTTGTAGTCACAGCGCACTTCACCCAAGCAACCTTATGTGAATGATTACGGTATGTTGAAACGTTACATTCTTTTTTTTTTGTTAAGGTGAAAGGAAGAAAATGAGGAAAAACTATATGAGATGCACTGTGACGCATAGTCGACTGTTCAATTAAGCGGCGTTGCAGAACGGGTTTCAACAGCAACCTTCTATTTCATCGAAGGTTCTTCTACGTTTAATTGCTGCGAGAGCTTTAAGAGGAAAACCAGTAAACGCATTAGGATATGATGAATATTTGAAATGATTCAATACTGCGAATTAATTTTGAGTATCTCAATATTATTGTTTTGATGCGAACGTGTGAGCAACTGATAGGCAACAACAGCCTATAGCGGTCAGGATCATTCGGAGTCATGCAACGAAATAGATTTCTCGTTGTCATAAACCGTAATTAATTCAAAGAAGTTACAGAAACCCAAGATTGCACTATAAACTTTCATCCCGTTTTCAAGTTTAAAGCTCCAAGGCAAATAGTGTTATGGTCAATGTGTCATTAAGTTAGCAGACCTCAGAAAATATGTTAATTGCTGTTTCCCAGGTTTCGGTTTAGTTCAGCATTATTTTTTCCTATTCCTATGGTTGCACCCGGAAGCAATATGATTTTATGGCTTTCAAACTTTCTATAGTTCTCATACTGAAACGAAACAATTCCTACCTTGTAACTGTTACGTACGAAATTGATTTAAAGGTCTTATCTCTTTGCAAACTTTTCTGGGTCACGAACGTTGATAAGAATTACCTCAGCTATTTGAACCATTTTCAAGACTGAAACACATATATAGAGGATATTGCATGGCCGCGCGGGGATACGAATTTTATCTTCGAGTGCTGTAAGTATTTCTCACGAGTGAGCAAAGTGAACGAGTGAGATATACTCTCAGCATGAGAAGATAGAATTCGTATCCCCAAGCGGCCATTTAATGTTCTGGTTATTCTATAGATAATGATGAAATTTCCACTTAAAACACAACTTTTTTTTATTCATTTTCGGAACGGAAAAACTGTGCAATTAGAATGGTCAGCTATTGCAAAATGCCTGTCACAAAAATGTTGTGAAACTCAGACAGAAAGTTATAGAGGAGAAATAAAGACAACAATACTTATATTTTTTATATTTTCTGTTCCAAAAAGTCAAAATTCTAATGAAAAAATAGTATAAGCATGTTAGTAACTGTGGTGACACCAATATCCTCACACATAAAAGATAAAATTAATGTCTTCACTACATGCGCTGAAGATATGATTTTTAGTAAAAGAAAAAATCCTGGTATTTCTTCAGTATCTATGTAATAAATACATAATTTATCTCCAAGTGGGCGATATACAACATGACAAAAATGTGATTTCAAATGTCAGTTTCTTCCTTCAATTTTGTTTCCTAAATATTAGCACATTTTGCTTTTGGATGGAAGATTATCAAGTGATCTGCCTGAGCAATGTGAAAAGCTTATTTTTAGAAACCTACTTTCTGCTTATCTAAAGAGCACAACAGACTGAGGCTTGTTTTGGAACCAGAAAGTTTATTGAATGCCCTACCCAAGAGCCACATCTGATGGTCATTTTTTTCTTAACAGGAAGATCAGTGAATGTGACTCTCTGCTTTATGACTAGCAATTGAGTTGACTATTCAAGCTTGAAAAGCTAGACTATGTAGTAAGACCTTTTCTCCTGAGCCATCCACTCACAAAAGTGAACTCTTTACCTTTAAGCACCTTCCTACTAATAGATAAAATACATGACATTTCCTGTTCAAATACCCCACCCCACCAAGGCAAGGTTCAAATTCCATGTGCCACTGGGAACAGATGACAGTCAAATGCCCATGGGTTGGAGGTTGGAATATTGAAGCTTCAAATTGATCAGTGCATTACTCCAGAAATTAGGTACTCATAGCAGCATTGTTACCCAGTAATGCAAAACAGTAAAATATTTTGTATATACTTAGATAGTTTTGCATTTATTCTTAGCACTGTTTTTACAGAAAAAGTTCTTATCTTAAATGCTGTACTTGTATTAACCAAAGCTTAACATCTTGCCAATTTTAAATTTTGCAAAATTCAGACATCAAAATTATGGCTTAGGTCAATGTGGTGCTATTCCCTTTTCTGCTTGGTCTGTTATGCATAAATTATGTATTTTTCTTTCTGACTGATATTCCAGAATTGTTGCAAACATAATGGCAGTTCAACTCAATGAAATTCTACAAAAAAGGGGCTCACTTCACAGAGCTCCACCACCAAGAGCCCCTAGCAACAAGCCACCACCAGCCACAAGAAACACCCCAATTCCAAACAAAGATACTGAAGTTAACATTGCCCAACTTATCCCTGGTGTAAAACTGAGAAGGACAGGCATGCGAGACAGCTTGATTGCAGAGGATGCTGATAACAAACATGTTGTTGATACCATTGAGCCAGAGAATGAGCTCCAAAGTGTCATAGCTAAAAGAAGAGCATTGTTTGAACAAAAAGACGAGGAGGTGAAACCAAAAAAGCCACCCAAGCCTAAACCAAAGCCATCTGTAAACAATCACAAACAGGACAAGGAAAATCAAGAGACTAAATCACGATCAGACTCAGCTTGCAGTATTAGCAGTGGTGAAGACAAAGATGTTTTAACTGACTCAAACAGAAATGTTGTTTGTAGGGATTCCAAAGGAGATCCAAAACTATCTAATCTGCCTACCATGGAAAGTCTCGGGAAACCTCCTGCTAAACCTTCTAAACCAGATAGTTTAGCAAAGTTATTGGAGAAGTATGATAGGAAGAGTGTCGTCATGGCACCACGACGAAACACACTGCAGAGCAGCAGTGCCACCTCTATGGGTATGTCCATAATGATTTAGCCTTCAATAAAATCAGTTAACAGTTTTACTCCTGATATCTCAGTTAGGTAGTAATTCTCCTTACTGTCTGTCACACAATTCTTTTGAGGTTAGTTCTGAGAATTTGGTTTTGGATCAACTAATAATCCTTAATTGATATTTTTCCTTATTCTCAGCACTTTTCTGCTTGATATGGTATTGATATTGTAAGGAGAAATTCTCTCTTGGTCACTTATGGGAGTTATAGGAATAAGAGAAATTTCTTTATGGTACTGTTGCTACTGGTACCACATTAAGATTATGAAAACAGCTAAGATAATTTCATGGATGTGATATATAGTTGCATGAACGATTACACAACTGTGCTACCAGTTGATAAAACTGAACCTGCACAAATTTGTTTTTAGGTGATGTTATTCCTGAAGAAAATGATGAGGGAGAAATGTATGACGATGTGGATGAACTTAAAAATCAGATACTGGGTGAACAAGAAGATAAACAAGACAAACAGTTGGCTGCACAGGAAGAAAATGGTAATTGCAAATACCTTCATTTTCTTCCTGCTTTACACACTGTTGAAAATTTTCTCTTGATTGTTGAACAATAAATTTTTATCTTTACATGTCAAAACATTTAACTCTTCCTGCCCTAACATCAGTATGCATATTCTCCAAACTGTTCTCTATACATTTGTTGAACAACCAAGAGCTTCTTTAGTTGGTGATCATTACCTTCATTCTCCTGACCTTAAATGTTTGATTCAGGGCTGATATTGTAGGGAGAAATTAGATGCTAATCACTTAGGGTCAAAGGGTTATTGAATGAAAACAATATTTATTTTTAATGGCTTTCGTGTTTTTACTGTAGGAATTATGGAAGAAAACTATGATGATGTTGGTGGAATGGTGGAGAATGCAGGGAGTAACTCAGAAAGGCAAAATCCTGAGCCAATTTTGGAAGAAAACTATGATGATTTAGATACTGTGAAGGAACAAGCTCTTCAAATTCAGAATGGTATAGTGATTTTCAAAAGATGATAAAATTCATATGAATAATTTTTATAATGGAAATCTTTATTACATGTTCTTGTATATGATTAAGTACCAATGAATGTGGGTCAGGCTTTATTTTAGAACTCAAATAGCTCAGTCAGTGAATGACAGCACAAAAACTTGCCTGAAGTCTTTTTTTATCAGTACCTCAGTAATGTTTTTTTTGCTTTTTTTTCATTAGAAAATAACTCTCTATTGGTTAGTTTTCATTTAGAGTAAAATAACTAAAGTGTGTTGAATTACTGGGGTATATATTTTTTCAATATTTGTTAACTAATTATGTGCAAGCACCATTGATAGAGAAAGATCCTATCTAGCTTATACTGTTACAGAAAAAAATTGGCCTGTATAAGTAAGCTAAGTTTACAGTATTTACAAAAATAATTGAAAATTATCAAAGTCTACAGAAAAACTATTATAATAATAGTTCATCGAGTTCATTATTAAGTTTGTGGCTATTCACACCATTCTAATTTTAAAATGCTCAAATTTAGATCAAGGGTGTTATTTTACAGTTCTTGAATTTGGTGGTTTTGAGCTATCATTACTGTCTAATTCAATTTTGTTCATCAGATTTTGGTAGAGATTCATTTATTGGTGGAGAAGAATTGTAATAATAATAATATATTAATAATAATAATAATAATGATAATAATAATAATAACTTTTATTTATATAGTGCTCATATCCTGAGGTCATGGCACTTTACAACACTGTGCAAGGGACTTTGCCAGACTGCTAAGCAGTTTACAATCAATGAAAGGC